CACCCCGTGGCGAGCCGCAACGTGTCGCCGGACAGACGTTCCACATACGCGCGCTACAGGAATCATGGCGTTAATTGACTGGCAGTGCGGTAGCTTCATCAGTGGACTGCGCATATTTATGCAATTTTATATTCTTACCAATGTAATTAAAAAAATAATATCCGAATAGAAATTCGTTTCTACTAATTGCTATAAATTTTCTGTTCAACGTATTACTATATACAGTCGGGTACTGAAGTTAGCGGACAGATACTAAGTTTTAGTTTTATTAAATATTATTTATTATTAAATGTAAGAGAAATAAGTAAGTAAGCGAATGACTAAAATTCTTAGAAATGGCGTTATAATACCGGAGAAGCATATTTAAATGCATAGAGTGGTATTTCAGTGTTCACAGTATACTTTACTGTTCTTTTCCCTCTGAAATAAAACCCTTAGAGTATACAAATTTCGAAACGTGAACTTGCTAATTTTAAAATGTGCAAAAATGTTCTAAATAGCATTTTAAAGTATACGTGCTATTCTATATGTGGCGACACTCGAACACGGAACTTTCTAATGGCTTCGCGACACACAGCGCGCTGTATCTTCGAAGCGTAAGGTCGACACGCCTAATGTTCCGATATCCCTACGGTTTTTTCGCCGAACATTCGGAAGATCGCGTAACGCGGCAACCGTCGCGGACGTCTAATAAACGCGTGCGTAGTGGAGGTATCGAGGGGCAACAAAGAAAAGAATCTGCTTGGTTTCGAATGACAGATTCATTCTGCGGAAGGTTAAGCGTCATAGCGAAGCAAACACAATTAGGGATATGTGATTATTGATTCTTGATAGTTTTATTGTTATTTGTTGTTGATAGTTAATCGTTAATCGTTAATTATTGACTGTTAATAGTTTAATAAACTTATTGTTGAACATCAACAGTATTTCTTGTGGCCACCTTCACCAACATACTACCTCAGTACTAATTTTGCTTATTCGCTAAATAATCTATGTACTATAACACTAGTGCTAGTTTGATTAAATTTCATTGACTATATTTCTGTAGATTTTTGTATTCCTAGTATCTAAAAGTGTATGAACATTCGCGGTGTATTCATTG